CCGAGGGAGAGGAGAAAGACTCCTCGCCTCCCTACACCGGAGCTTCGCCGCCTCCAGGGCGCTGGCGGCCCCGGAACGGAGTTGGAGACCCTCTCGGGGTGCGCCGACCCTCCGGGGCAGCAGCCCGCTCCCACCCCTAGCCTGGGCTCCAATGATCCGCAGCCCCGCGCATTTCGAAAGCCTTTCCGGCTCGCCGGCAGCCCGGGACGGCTACGGCCGCGTTTTGGGGGCGCCCCTGCCTTCACCCTGGCCTCGCCAAGTCTCCCCTATTGCATCCTGGCTGCTCAGCGCAAGGGCTCCAGGCAGGGAAGACGTGGGCAAACGTGGGTTTGGGGGCGCGATCGGCGGGGTTGGGGGGTCAGGAGGGGCGCAGACTTTTAACGGGTGCACTGGTGCGAGGCGGGCGGCCTCTTGGGCCCGGTGCGCCCACCGCCCCGAGCGCCCTTTCCCGGACGCCGGGGAACCCTGCCTACGCCATTGAATCTTCATCTTCGTCAGCGTCGCACACTTGCTCTTCGGGTGGGAAAAGAGTGCTTCCAAAGCTCGCCTCGAATCATCGATCGCTTTTCAGGGTCTGAATTGCTCTGTAATTTGCCGTCTCTTTTTCACCTGAGCCACACCCTGCGCCTCGCCACCACCTCTTTCCCGGCCCAAATAATAATACAATAATACGTCAAAACTCATGCTAAGTCAAAGTGGGAAGGGAAAAGGGACCCACGATCACGCTGGGAAACCTCGGGGGGCGCCTCCCCGAGCTCGCTAGCTCGCGCGGGGGCTGGGTAGGTTGGGGTCAGCCGCCAGGCGACCGCGCAGAAACGAAAGTGCAGTGTTTTCTACGTCAACCGCGATCCCCGCGCGGCCATCGCGCGCCCCCGATTTGTCACGCGTGGGGACGCGCACACTGGCAGGAAGTGGGGAAATGTACGAAAAGCAGTCGAGGCTCTGGGCGCCAAACTCGACGCGCCTCCAAAGGAACGTTAAGAACAGGCGGCGAGAAAGGCGCGCGGCCGGGGGATTGCATCATTGCAGCTCCCCCTGCAGAAAATGGGCTCCGACCCGCGGCGACCATCATGGCGCTCGGGTCGGGC